CCGACGATTCAGATGTGGATTCCGTGTCCTCATCCGTCACGACAACCTCGCCAAGTCAATACGCATTCAATCCCTATATCAACTACCCATCGATAAGCTCTTCGGCCCCCGCATATCCATATCAAAATTTCGGTGAACTCACCAATTCAGACGGGATGAACAATAACAGCACAAATTCAATACAATACCACCACCAGTCAGCAAACAGTACACCCCTGTCGCCGGTTGACAGCGCAAGTTATTTTTACAATTTTAGCAATCCCAACGGCAATCAATTCGACCTGTCCAAGATTCTTTACCTTCCGTCCTATGACTTGATGTCGGCAGATGGAAGTAAGGAGAAAGTAACATTGGAATATGATCAATCACCATCCGTGGGCGATTGGGTAAGGAATTGCGGTAACAGAGATGGTGACTGTGACGGCAACGGCAACGGCGACGGCGATGGTGAGGATGTTGAGACGGCTGGCATTAATAACATTAATAGTAATGCAAAGATAAAAAGACAATCAATCGGCTGTTCATCACCCACTGGAAATGGACCAAATGGTATTGCAAATAAGAACAATTCCCCGGTGACTTCACCATCATTGGCCGATGGCGAGGTCGCCGGTCTGAGCACTTCTACACATACAATGGCAGCCAAGAGGCCTAGATCATCTTCGCGTGCATCGTTAACGAACATGACAACAAGCGACTCATCAAAATCCGCATCCAATAACAATAACAATAGTAGTAATAATAATATTAATAATTCATCGTCATCATTACCACCGTCGTCATCATCAACACCGTCTTCGCCCTCGATGCATAAGGATAGCCTGAACGGCGTTAGCAATAACGGTAGTAGTGGTGGTTCGTCGTCCAAGAGCGCGATGCCGACAACGTGCACCAACTGTCATACGCAGACAACCCCTCTGTGGCGTCGCAATCCCGAGGGTCAGCCTTTATGCAATGCGTGCGGTTTGTTCCTAAAGTTACATGGTGTGGTGAGACCGTTGAGCTTAAAGACGGACGTGATCAAAAAACGTAATCGCGGTGGAGCTGCGACGACCGGCAAGAATTCGTCGAAATGTGGTAAAGGGACGGTGCAGCTTGGGGCCGGAGCAAGCATGAGCGTCATGGGAAAGAGGGTTTCACAGACCAATTCGATGACTTCACGTTCGCACCTCGGAAGTTCACCAAATTCTGTCTCGATATTATCAACGTCCGCGCCCACGAATGCCCAATTCACATTTAATGCGAGGCAACACGTGATGCCAAAGAGGCAGAGGAGATTTTCGAGTGACGAGCAACAAATCTTACACCCACAGCTTGGCGGGGAGGTTCATCCTCAATCTCAGGGTTATGGATTGATAAAAAGTCCCGTTAGTTCGATCGCCTCCTCTAACGATGCACAATTGATAATGGCAATGTCGTCCGGTCCCCCTCCGTCCAATGCCAACTCATACAAACAATCGAGTGCCGCTTCGGCGGACGCAATAGCATCAAGCAAAGCCCACTCACGGTTCCGATCGCATACCACCTCGTCAATATTGTCAACTGCCACGTCACAACCGTCATCGGCCGGCGTTAGCAGTGTAACCCCGACGCCCACACCGCCAAGGTCTTCCCATTATCAACAGTTATTCGTGTATGCTTGGCCCGACGAGCAAATGATGCAGTCGGCACTGTCGGGTGAGGATGAGGACATAATCATACCTTCAAATGGCACCTTCGAACATTATGTGGACACTGAGACGGCCGGTGGACCGAATGCGACCATGGATCTGGACATTTTCTCGGGAAACATTCTCATCTAGAAAAAGGAACGATGGAAAGCATTAGTGTCGTTGCGCAAAAATTTGCCGTCGACCGAAATCAGGACGATGGAAAAAAAAGGCGGAGAAACGCCGGTTTCATAGATTTTGAATCGGCGTCGTTTAAATAAGTTTTCTTTATACATATATAGAGATCGATTACACATTGGTGACCGAACGATTGAATCTTTTTTTTTTTTTAATTCTGTCATGTATCTTGGCAGTCGAAGGGATTCCTTGAATTTCATTATTAAGCAACTATAATTTGATCGATTCAAAAAATTATGCTTAAAATTCCCACTACTTGTGAATACATTGTATGATAATTATTTTTTTTTATTTTTTTATACATAAACATCAAGCGCATAAACCTCCCTCCCACTACACCAAAAAAATAAACCACCGGGTTTCTCGAAAAGAATAGCCCCCGTGGTAACACAATATAATTCATACTACAAGTCTTTCGATTGAACCTTTTTTTTTTTTTTTTTTTTTTTAAGAAAATCTTCCCGACTATATAAACCTGTACAGTATAATTTATATTATAAAGT